TCTTGTTCTTAATAAAAAGCCATTGGAAGATTCTGTGAGTTGTCCTTTATAGATGACTGCCTGAAATTGTTGCAACCACTTTACTGCAGCCTGAAGATGCAGCCAACACTGAGGATGTCAGAATAGAGACAAAAATAACCAGATACCAGAACACAAGCTAGTAGCCAGTGCCCTTATCATAAAATACACTGCTCCTCTACATTTTCTTCAAGGATGATTTTTTTAAATGTTGGAGGTAATGGTTTCACAGATTATATTTAAGTCTTTTATCCACCTTGAATTTATTTTGGTGTATGGTGTAAGCTGGTGCTCAAGTTTCCTTTTTTTGCACATAGCTGTGAAACCATTAAAGTCCTAGAGGAGAACATTGGCAAGAAAATCTCAGATATTCCACGCAGCAGCATTTTTACTGATATGTCCACTACAGCAAGGAATATAAAGGAAAGAATAAACAAATGGGATCTCATCGAAATAAAAAGCTTCTGCATGGCTAAAGAAAACAGTATTAAATTAAAAAGACAACCAATTGTATGGGAAAACATATTTGTCAGTGATACCTGAGACAAAGGTTTAATCTCCAAAATATACTAAGAACTTACACAGCTCCACTCTAAGAAGACATCTAACCCAGTTAAAAAATGGGAAAAGGACTTGAACAGACACTTCTCCAAGGAGGACATACAGAATATCCAGAGACACATGAAGAGATGCTCAATATGGTTAGCTATCAGAGAGACACAAATTAAAACCACAATGAGATACCACTTTACACCAGTCAGAATGGCTATCATAAACAAAGCAACAAACAACAAATGTTGGAGAGGTTGTGGGGAAAAGGAGTCCTTAGTTCACTGTTGGTGGGATTGCAGACCGGTACAACCATTATGGAAAACAGTATGGAATTTTCTCAGAAAAATAAAAATCGACCTGCCTTTTGACCCAGCAATTCCACTGCTAGGATTATACCCCAAGAATCCTAAAACATCAATTTCAAAGAACCTATGTACCACAATGTTCATAGCAGCACAATTTACAATAGCCAAGAGTCGGAAGCAACCTAGGTGCCCATCAGTAAATGAATGGATAAAAAAATTGTGGTACATATACACAGTGGAATTCTATGCAGCAGAGAGAAAGAAGGAGCTACTACCCTTTGCAACAACATGGATGGAACTGGAAAGCATTATGCTGAGTGAAATAGGCCAGGTGCTGAAAGACAAATACCATATAATCTCACCTTTAACAGGAAGCTAAACAACAAAACAAACAAGCAAGCAGAATAAAAACAAAGACGCTGAAATAGAGAACAAGTGGGCAGCGACCAGAGGGGAGAGGGAAGGGAATTTAAGGGTGAAAAAGGGGAGGGATTTTGAGGAACAAGTATGAAAGACACAGGGTTGAGGACTGGGGGGAGGAAATGGGAGGGAGGTGGGGAGCACGGGGCAGGGGGGCTGGGATGGGAGAAATAGACAAAAAAACTGTACTTGAAAAATAACTAAATAAAAATAAAATAAAAGTAACAAAATAAATAAATAAATGTTGGAGGTAAGACGTAAAGATTCTAGACTTATTTCTTGAAACTAATTTTACTCAGCCAATTCAGTACTATTTAAAAATCATTTTAATTAATTCACAGCAGCTAAAATGATGATTGACTCTGATATTCTTAGGCAATATTCATTAACCATAGAAATAGGATATTCAATGTGAAAAGAAGTAATAATGTCATTGATAAAGACAAAAGAAAATAGAAACTTAAAAACAAAAGTGCAACAGGTGAAGAGAGAGCTATTCTTTCCCATTAATAGAAGAATTCTGCCATTTGAGACATACACTACAACTGGAAAACTTTTGAGCTGAAAACAGAAGATAATATATAAGAAACATGTACAGCAAACAGCCTAGAACTGGCTGGGATCAAAAAATAAGTAACACATGACCAAATGGTAGAACTGTAGAAATAGAAAGTTCAACAAAAATTATTGTAAATGTTCATTGATCATGAATATTAAAAGCTATGAGGTATCCTTTGTGTAAGAGAGCATCTTATTAATCCATGATCAGCAAGACAATTTTTTGAGCTACTCCTCAATATGGTGGAGGATTTGCCCTGAACCAGCCACTCCCAACTATCTACTGCCTCTCTGAAAATAGTTGGCCAAGGTGAGATGTACAAGTTACAAGTATCTCTAAGCCTCAGTTCCCTTTCCTGTAATTAGAGACAATACATAATTCAAAGGTTTGTATGTGGCTGAAATAAGATAGTATTTGTAGAGTACTGAGCTAATATTTTCATACACTGTACAGTCCCAATTTTTAAGGTCCTTTTCCTTTCTCCTTCCCCTCCTGAGAAGACCACAAGGGTGATTGTTCCCTTGGAGTAAACGTGAAGTCTGTCTTCTGCTGACTAATTAGAGCCATATTTATGGGACTAACTTGATTTGGGGCAGCCATTTCTCATAGATGGTTGTGGAAAAAACAGAAAGTCGGCTCAAATATCATCAGCTCCTCAAAGTCAAGTGCTTCCTCAAAGGACTCACATTGTTATGGCCTAAAAAAGAATCACACTAGAGTTTAATAATTTGTTTCTATGAGTTTATTTAGTACTAGATTGGAAGTTGCTAAAGGAAACACCCTTCTACAACCCAGAGTCTAACATAGAACTTGAGCATAGAAGATGCTCAGTAAGGAAGGGAGAGAGGGAGGGAGAAGGGAAGAAAGGGAAGAAGGAAGGTAGATGTAACAAACGTTCAAATGGGTAATGTTTAACTTCTAGACCAGGGCTGTCTGGTATAAATGTAGTGCAAAGCATAAATATGAGCTACATATGTAATTTTATGTTTTCTAGTGGCCATACTACAAAAAGAAACCCATGAGCTTAATTTTAATAATATATTTTATTTATCACAATATACCCAAAATATTATTATATCAACATATAACCAATGTGAAAAATAATTATGGGCTTTTTGTGTTTTTGTAATGTCTTCAAAATCTATCACATATTTTACATTTGCTGAGTATCTCAGTTCAGACTAGACAAATTTCAAAGCGTTCAGTAGACCCATGTGGCTAGAGGCTACCACACTGAACGGTACAGCTCTACCCTCTACAAACCTTCTCTCAGTACTTTTCCCATTTCAAAAGTCCTGACTTCTACTATAGGGGCCCCACCTACTTCAAGGTGCTCAGCTCCCCCTACCCCATCCCCTCTGTTACCCTTATATCACCCCAGTTTATGAAATACATCCATTCCATAATCCAGATTTGTGCCCTACAGTTTCATTTAATCTGGAGTTATTGGATATTAACCAGTTTAAGTGGTTAACACTCCCAAGTAATCACCTGAATGTTAATAGATGTTGGGAAGGAAGGCTCTCTCTTCCCACCAAATGATTAATATGTGCTCTATATGTTTTTTAAATATGAACAATAACTTTAGTTATTGTTCTACAAAGGCACTTAATGAGGTCCCATGGTACACCTGAAGACATGGGTGAAACAGTATTTCAGCGCAAGACTTCAGAATACAGACACTACCACTTGTCTTTATATCCCCCGTACAAAGCACTGTGTCTGGTGTGTAGAGAGCACAATAAATATTGACATTAAATGTGATTGAAACTAGTTGAGAATCATGGGTGAGTGCTCAATCAGAGCTACTTAAGTTTACTTAACAGGAAAAAGAAATTCATGGGGCATGGCTAAGAGACTTGTTGGGTTTCTAAGTGAAAAGAGTCAGTCTTTTATTGGAAAGTAGGGAAAACAAAATGACATAATGGGAAAGAAAGATGATGGCAGAAATCCCTTAAAGTCCATGGATCAGAGAGCAGAGTGTGTATGATTAATCTTCAGGGATTGTGGGGATAAGATATTTACACATTCATTCAACAAATATTTTTAAGCTCCAATGTTATGCTGGCTCTGTGCTTGACACAGCCATGCAAACATGGGTAAGAAATTTTTCCTGCTCTAAGAGAGCTCTAAACCAGACAGAAGACTGACAAAGAAATAAGAAATGTCCTGCCCTCTGATGTGATGAAGGTGTGTTGTGATGGAGATATTTACAAAGTAGAATGGGGTCGAAGGGGAAGGAGTGAGCATGTACACAGTTCTGAGAAGCTTCATAGAAGAAGAGAAAATATGGCCTGAAGGATGAGTAGGGGTCTGCCCAGCATATTTAACAAGACATACAAAAGCACAGAGGTAAGAAAAATTCCATTCTAGAAATCAGAAAAATTCAGTGTAATTGGAGCAGCACATTGGGTAAAAACTAGAGAGTGATAGAAGATATTGAAAATGTAGACTGAGCCCAAATCGCAAAGGACCTTGCATGTTTTGCCAAAGGATTTTGACTTTGGCCTAAAAGTGATATGTAACAAGTCTAAGTGTTAAGCAGATACGTGATCGGGTAAAATTTCCTGTCCCACATGAAGCCAGAAGTGATTGCATGACTTACTTTGGCCAATGAAATGTGAATAGAAGTACCATGGGTCACTTCTGAAACATAGTTGATGATAAAATGCATGCTTTGGCCCATTCTCCTTTACCTCTACCCAGTGACCAGCAATCTTAAAACACTGGCTTTTCATCCTTGATTCCTGAGTGATTACAATGAGCATAACACTTCTGTTGAATGACAGTAGACTTGTAGCCGAGGTAAGAAATAAACCTTTGTTGTCTTAGCCACTTTGATTTGGAGATTGTTTATTACTGAAGCAGTGTTTCAGGCTATCCTGGCTTATATTGTAGTGGAATAACATGATCAGATTTATATTTTAAAAAGGTAATTGATGACAATATGGAAGATAGCTTAAAGGTAGGAGAGGAAGTTAATTACAGACAAGGAAGCCAATAGAGAGATATTGAAATAATTCCAGGAGAGAAATGATAAAGGCCTAAAATTAGAACAGGAGAGGTAAAGGAAATGAGTTATACATTAAAAAAATATTTAGAGAGCAATAGCAACGAGAATGTGGTGACTAATAAAATATGGTTTTATACTTACCTGGCAGGACAGACACCATGATCACGATGGTGGTTTTCCCAGGACAAGGCTTATCCATGTACTCCAGGTGTGCTGACCCCTGCGATTTCCCCAAACCTGGGAAATTTGACTGCATCATCTGTGGTACTGGTGGACTGTGTTCATGCTTTCCCCCTTTTAAAAACACATGTACACATATATGGTTGATAAATGTTTTAGTTATCTATTTTTATATAACAAATTCGTCTAAATAGATAACAAATATGTCCAAAATGTATCAGCTTAAAATAATTAATATAAATATGTATTCTCTCACAGTTTTCTGTGGGTCAGGAAGTTTAAGATGACTTAGCTAGTGGTTATGGCTCAGGATCTCTTACCAGGTTGCAGTCAAGCTGTCGGCCACGGCTGCCATAGCTGAAGGTTTGATTGGGTCACAGAGGTGTCCAACCTGTGGCATCTCTGAGCCACACTGGAAGAAGAAGAGTTGTCTTGGGCCACACATTAAATACACAAACACTAACGAAAACTGATGAACAAAAAAAAAGGTTTTAAGTAAATTTCCAATTTTGTGTTGGGCCACATTCATAGCCATCCTGAGCCACAGGGTCCACTCCCAAGATGGTTCACGCACATGGCTGACAAGTTGATGCTGACTGTTGACAAGAGCATTCAATTCCTTCTCACGTGGGTCTCCCCAGAGGGTTGCTTGAGTGTCTTTATGATATGGCAGCTAGCCCCCAGAGCAAGTGACGTAAAAAAAAAAAAATAAGGCAAGGCAGCACTTTCTCCTATGACCTGACGTTAAGTCACACACAATCACTTCTAGCATATTCCTCAGTCACATAGACCTATCGTGATACATTGTCAGAGGAACCATAAAAAATGCAAGTTTTAGAAGGTGAGGATAATTGGGGGCATCTTGGAGCCAGACTACCACGATGAACAAGATGGAGGTACAGAAGCTCACTGAGATTTCTAGTTTGAGTGATAGGATCCAATGATGGTATTGAGCAAGATGCAAAACACAAAAGAAAAAAATCAGATTGGGAGGGGAGAGAGATTAGTTCAATTTTGGACCTGCCATGTGGAGGAACCTACAAGGCATACAAAAGTGAAAAGCCTAATTATCATTTGAAAAGAGGAAGTTCTGCCCTGGCTGCTGTAGCTCAGTGGATTGCCTGTGAAGCAAAGTGTCCCTAGTTCAATTCCCAGTCAGGGCACATGCCTGGGTTGCAGGCCAGGTCCCCAGTAGGGGGCGTGTGAGAGGCAACGGACCCATGTATCTCTCACACTGATGTTTCTCTCCCTTCCTTTCTCCCTCCCTTCCCCTTTGTCTAAAAATAAAGAAAGAAAATCTTAAAGAAAGAAAGTAAAGAAGTTCCCAAGAGAGATCAGAGTTGAGGATGTCAGAATCAATATATCTAAGTGGAGGAGGAAGTCAAGGCAGAAAAGAATATGGCCCAGGAAGGGTGTACAGAAAGAAAAAGGAAGAAACACAAAATCAGGAACAAAACCTTATTGAGAGAGTCCTTTATTTAAGGAATTGGGTGTGGGAGGAAAAGTCAGCAAATGACACAGGGAAGAAAAAATCAGGGATGTGAGCAGAGCATAAGAGCTGTGTAGGCACAGAAGGCAGCAGAGGGGAGGGGTCCATGAGTTTCAGCGGCAGTGCCAAGTGATGCAAACAGTCAAGTAATAGGAAACCGAGGCCGCCCTCCCCCACGCCCCCGCCCAGATTTCACAGTTCAGGCAGGTGGCCCTTGGGTAAGAGATTTCAGTAGACTTAGGACGCGGAGTTTGCCTAAATGCATGACTTCGCCCATTAGATTAAACCACTCCTGTCATGCAATGGAGTTGGTTTCCCTTCATAACGGGTGGACCCATTACCTAAGAACTAATATGTCCAATAATGGAAAATTTCTTTTAACATGGGCCCATCATGCTCCATCTATTGGCAATGGAGAATAAATGAATGGGTCAAACAAAGCACTATGGCCTCTGCCCAAACAACCACACCTTCAAGAAAAGCTTCAGGCGTTGATAACCTTCTTGGGGCAACCAGGAAGCTAATCTACAGACTGCAGTTATAGGGTAGAAAGGTAGTTACAAGGCATTTTGTTCACTAAAAAATCCCCAACACCTTACAAGTACCTGGCACAATAATAGGTGCTCATAAAATATTAGTCAGATAAACCAATTGGGATTGAATCCTAAGGTCAGGAAATATTCAAATGGCAATATTATTTTTAGCCAAATAAGAAAAAACTCCAGTGACTTACCAGAAACTAAAATCAGAAATGTCATGATCACTGCTATATTTGAAGTCGTTGCCTTTGGTTTTGAAGACAATGAATGCATCACAGCATCCCTGAAATCTTTGTCTAGGATAAATCCCAACCCAATAGTGTGCTCAGGGGCCGGTGGCAGGAGGTGATATGGGAAACTAAAACCTATTACCACTCAAACTTAACGGCTTTGGCCATATACTGTCGTCATTTCCTGAGCCTTCCTCGGTCTTAGACATCCTGCCAGGAAATTACGGAAATGAATTCAGTCACAAAGCAAGAAAGGGCACTGCTAGGAGGGTCCAGTTCCACTAATCCGTTCATTCATTTATTCACATATTCATCATTCAGGACACTTTCACTGAGTGAATACTATGTGCCAGACAGTGCTAGGCTAAAATCTTTTCTGGAACAAATGGTGTTGGTTTTGTCCCAGTGATGGCAGTTATTATTTTATTCTTGTCACCATCAACTTCATCATTATTCATGCAATGTTGGAGGCATATGAAGGCCACCGTGGGAACCTAAGGAAAGTCACCTCCATGTCTGCTGACTCATTTTTCCTCCTGTGAGGACTGATGACAACATTACTCAGCAGTCTTACCTACAGCTCCTGTGAGTCATTTTATTCTAAGCGGTGATCTGTCTAGAGCCATCACCAATGGCTCTGATCTAAGTCACCAATGTGCAGGGGTGAGGGAGACCCTTTGGGCTTATTTTAGAGAGATAACTCCATTCCCCTATTCTGGCAATATTTTCCCAGTTATAATTTAATGCTCAGATCCTTATAAGAACCTTAAGATGATAGTGGATAAATGAACAGTTGCAGTACATTAAATCCTTATTTTCATTCTAAGAGCTTGATCTGGCTGGTTATCAGTCTAGCTTTTCGCGTCATCTGTAGAAGCAAACCATGATGTAGCAGAAACCACTTAGGAGCTAACAAGATGCCACCATGGTTGTGTGCATTTACAAATGGTCTGTTGATGACACAGGAGAAATTGGGTGGTTAAACTTTTGCAACATTTTTTAAAGACCTTCAATAAGGCCTGATACCTTGAAATATAAACGAGGAAAAAAGAAGGGTGTGCCCGCGCTAAAATTCTGGCAAAGAAACAATGGAAAGCTATCTCTGACCCCATCAAACAACCCCTTCTGTCTTAACCCCACCAAGAACTCCCTATATCTCCTTGGAATCTTAACTTCCTTTCAAACATCCATAGGCCTTCCCTTCATTCCCCATGTAGGCCTGGTGTCACTAAGAGTTCTTAACATGATGCACTGATTCCTTGGGCTGCTATAACTAATCACTACAGACTGGATGGCTTAAAAGAACTGAAATTTCTTTTCCTATAGTCCTAAAGATTAGAGGAATGAAATGAAGATGTTGGGAGGGCCACACTCTCTGAGGCTCTGGGCAAGAATCCTCCCCTGCCTCTTCCAGCTTCTGTGATTGCCGATGATCTGTAGCAATCCTTGGCTTGTGGCTGCATCACTCAGGTTTCTGCCTGTTCTTTGCATGGTTGTCCTCCTCTCCTCTATGTGTGTCTCTGTGTCCAAATCTGCGTCTCTTCATAAGGACGTGGAAATTAGATTTAGGGCCCATTCTAAGCCAGTGTGACCTCATCTTAACCTGGTTACATCTACAAAGACCCGATTCCAGAAAGGGTCATATTTGCAAGTACCAGGGGGTTAGGACTTCAGCCTATCCTTTTGGAATGCATAGTTCAACACACAAAAATGCCCAGACTCTTGGATCTTCTAACATTGGAAAATTCTACATCATAAACATGAGCCAGCCCTCAGGATCCCTGGGCCTCCTCTGTGAAACTGAAATAATTCCCGTTTTCTTCAAAAGCTTGTTGCAAGTTACAATGAAAAATTTCCTTCTTTCTCTCCCCCTTCTTTCCTTCCTTCCTTCCTAGACTTTCAGAATCCTCATGAGTATTTTCTGCGAGGACCCAGTGTGCTATGAAGGATAGAAAGATGAAGTGAGATTCCCACATTCATAAGATTTAAAACTTGTAGGAAGATTCAACTGTCCATAAAGATCATAATATATGGCAAAAGGTGGTAATTTCCAGGAGAGTCACAGACACAGTGACACAAAAATACACACAACAGAGATCAATTCCTGCTGGGAAGAGTCACACAAGGCATCTATCTGAGCTTGATCCTGAAGAATATCTAGGATCTGGATTTTCAGAGATTAGAGGAAGAATTCTCCGTTGAGCTGGGTGAGCAGAGGCACTCGGCAAGGAAGCACAGCGTGTTTGTGAGGCTCTCAGAGTCTCCAGCCCCTCCCGTGTCACTGCTACAAATGCGTTTCAGAAGATTTCATTGCAAAGAAGTTAGAAGGAAAAGCACCAAAAAGGTAGCCTGTGACCGTCTCTGGGAGGTGCGATTTTCCTTTGCGCTCCTAGTTTCTTTCAGATTTTCTTCAATGCTCATGAGTTATTTACAATTAGGAAAAAGATTTTTTTCTATTTTTCAAGAAAGAATTTCAAATTGCCACACACAAAAAAAGAGAGAGAGAGAAATCATACCTTTCCAGGTACAGAATTCTAACAGAGTGTGAGGACTTTGATCATGGCAATTATGACAGGGCGGGAGACAGGACCCGGAGAGGCAGCTGGTGGGCGGGCTCCTGCGGGGCTGTCCTTACTGGCTTGGCACTCGGACTGAAACCGCAGCAAAGCTGCAATTTTTCCTTTGGGTAAGCAATGTCTGCCCTCTGCTGGTGATACAGAAGCTACCAAAGGCAAGAGTTTGTTCCCATCTTCATTAGACAACATGACGAAAAGAAATGTGAAATCATCATTCTGATCTTAAAGGCCTGTGTATTGATACTTCGACCAGCTCCGTGATGTCTTAAGTGCCCCCCCCAT